CCCCCCTTCCACCACCGACACCTCCAAATTACTCAAAATGGATAATTCCACACCATACGAGAACCACTGCTATGTCCAATCTATGCTTTGATTGAAATTTCACGAGTGACGGTTACTGTTGTAGAGACACGATAAGGATGAGCAAACAATGTCTTCTGGTGTACTTGTTAACTTATTCTCCAACAATACTTCCTCAAACAAGAAGAACTCCTAACTCATCACACTGACTATAGAAATGAACCAAATGATCGGAATATATCTGGATGTCCTCAGGAGAATCGAGGTGAATTCCTCAAATGAAACAAACCAGCAAAATCAGTGATCACAGCAACTTCATCGCACTGATCGCCTTCACCCTTTGACGTGAATGCGGACAAGCGAAACATGTAGATGGTGTATGGTTCTGAAATGAGGCAATTTTCATGATCAAAGATTCATTTCGTAAATCTGCTATATCAATTCTGTTTGATAATATTATGCAAAATATTCCATTTCGAATTGATGGAATTCAGCTCCAAAAGCTGATTGCTTGAATCTCTTCACTCTTGCTTATTCCAGCTGACCTATACCCCCTCGAATTATGCAATTTTAAGCAATTGTATAACTGTGACAAAACAAGTAGCGGAAATTCTGTGCCATGTTTTTTATGTAGTCAAAATGACATCTGATTTGCTTTCATCGTGATTGCTTTCATCGTAACACTCATTGCTGGATGATGATCATATTTATGTGATCACTACACACGTTATAAATTTCAATCGAACGCTGACCATGAAATATACGTTGACAACGCTCAAAGCATACCGAATAAATAAATGTCATAAGTTACATTATATTCCCTACATCCATAATTCGTAATGTGTTATAGCGCTAAATGGAAATGGTTGTAGTGCTTACTGATAGTGAGCAAAAAACATTTCAGCTTGAATGGATCAAAAAAAAAATCCGAGACAACAAACAATAGAGTGCAGAAGAGTGCATAAACGAATGAATGCATTCCCAGAGGAAGACGAAAATTGTTAGCAAATTTGCTAGCTGATTAACCTTTCAATAAAACATCACGATGATGAATGAATATTTGCGTATTTACGGACAAGCAATTCAGTGAAGCGAACTCTTCGATGAACCATTCAGTTAGAATGAAANCTTCGATGAACCATTCAGTTAGAATGAAAATCACTGAGGCATGCTGCCTTCTGCTAATTGCAGTTTTTTTTCCGGTGAAATAAAGCGAACAACGATTCGACAGCTACGTTTTTAATCGTATAAATGATCATAGTTGTAAGTTAATTTTCGAGTCAGCAACTTGAAACATCATTAGTGTGCGATTGTAGTATTTCAGTATGATATTTTTGTGGAAGCATCGATAATTGTCGATGAAGATGAGTTGGTCGGAAGATGGCACGAATTTTTTTGAGAAAAAAATTAAAAAGGTGACATTGAGGACACGGTGCCTAAGGTGTTGCACTATGTACACAACAAACAGTGACTGAACGTTCCACTTTCACGTATCTTACACTAAACAGAATAAATCAAATTGTACCGAGCTCAGTGATATTGTATGCATATCTTGATGGTACGTCGCCATGAACTTTCAAACGAATCGTTCGGAATTGAGCATCTTCTTTCCTCCTCATGTAAATTTGATAAGCAATTATGACACCATTTGGTTTACGTGGAATGCTCCAGGTCAACGTCACGATTGATGAAGAAATTGTATGTGCTTCAACATCTTCGGGTGGACCATCAGGAACTTAAACAAATATTGTCAGTTAATCTTCTATACACTCAACTTTCTTTTCAAAGTCGTAGATAATTTTTGATAATTGCTTAAACCCTTTTGAAAGACACAGTCAGCATATTCATAGCCAGTTCGATCGTCATCAATTTTTGTTATGAAAATGTTTGAAATAGATTTTGGGTTTTTGGGGAAAGGAGCTCTATGAAAATAGTCTTGGCTGAGTGCTAATCGTAAAGCAGTAATCGTAAATCCCCAGGAATATCGATTTGATGTGAATATGATCAGATCATCAATTCATTTACAGTGCTTGACATCTCAAACGATTTTATATGCAACATATTGTATCACTACAGATCATTATTTCTATAACATTATTCTTGCAACTGTAAACTTCTCAAACCCTGCTATAATCTTCACTTGTTTATACGCTTGGATTGTTTGTAAAATTGAAAGTTATTTGAGTGACGAAGAATTGACGGAAGGTAAGTAAGTGAGTGAATGAAATGGTTGAGAGGTTTTGAAAAGATGGTGAGTGCTTTTACCTGATTGATCAGTGTAGAAGATACTTGTTGCACTTGGCGAATATCCGTATCCATTATCTGCTTCTATGCTCAGCATAAATGCTGTATTAAACGACAATCCACATAACATGTACTCGTTAGACTGAAATGAAAATTCACAAATTGCAGTGAAACATGCAGTCGTTTCAAAACTCTCATCTAACGAACGCGAATGCTCTGACTATACTGCNATTGAACAATCATAATTGTTGCTTAGTTGCAACGGGCCATCTGATGGCAGTGAAAAAATAGCTGAGAATCATCATAATGAGCTGTTGAAATAAATGATTTGCAAACTCAACGCAGTTTTTCGCGGATTTCAGAGATACGATGGAGTGAATTGATTGAGGCGAAAGTTATACGATGTGAAATACATTCAATTCAGTGATCATATAAGGAATTTGATATGATAATCAGGAACGAACCTTAACGTGCCATTCATTCATCGTACCCGTGCCTACACGATGCGCCATTAATCGATATCCGGTCACCGAATCACCTGCATTCAACGGTCCTTTCCATGTTACGTTTATGCAACCCTCACTCGTGTTACGGATACTTTCGATGATTGGAGCACTCCTCAAAGCTGAAATTAAATGACGGGCACTTTTCGATTGTTTTCTCAACGCCTCTCAGCGCTACTCTTTCGCAAATCGCATGCATTTTGTTGAAAGTAACACAGGTGCATTGTTAACACAGGTGCAAATCGCAGTCTCTCATGTTCAACAATTTCTAAGAAACTGATCATTTGAGCGATAGTTCTACTGAGCAACATCATAAAATGTCCTCTTTTTGACTGTCCGATGTCGACATCTATTTCATCCTATAATGCTACATTGGCTGCACTGACCGAAAGCTTCGGAGAAACTCACGCTCATCGTGATAAGAATGGAACGGATCACATTCACATACGGATAACATGAATTTTATCACAAAAAAACGCAATAAAAACACGCAAATTGACTACAGCGCACTGGAAATGGATATTGCTGACTGGATTTTGCAAGGAAAGAACAACGTTGGAATGAAATTTTACGCGAACATCACAGAAGTTAGATTGCACTCACCCTCACCAAGTGTTCGATAGATTATCGCCGGGCTGAATTCACTCATTCCGGCTGCATTTTCCGCCGATACACTAAATGAATACTGAGTGAGTGGAAGTAATCCAGAAACAATTGCTGACGTACTGTTACCATATAGCGTTACGGTACGTTCTTCACCAGTCCGTGTTGCTCTGAAAAAAGAAATGCATTCATCTCCGAGCAGACACAATGCTCGTTTGGAAATTCCAGTGTGAAAAGATTCTGTCGGTTTGACCAGCTCAAAGTTGATTCTCTTCCTCATAATCAAATTCCTTTGGTATTCTGCTGACTGATACGCAAACTACTATTTGGGTCCTCGTCATTTTTTTTTCATTACTTGATCAACTTTACGCTAGGATCGTTATTGAAAGAACCGGTAAAATTATTCAGAAACTGTAAAATTTCACGATATAGTGGTCATTCGTAATGAATGCTTCTCAATGAATATTCCCAGATTTGCGTCCCCTAGGATTCAAATACTGTTGCAGAGGGAAGTCGGAAACAACGAGGAATTCGTTGATTGTATTGTGTCGTAATTTCATTTACGATCAGCAAGTTGCTTTCATCTCCAAATTCGAAGACAAGTGTGCGAGAATGGAGAAGACACATCCAAATATAGTTCGTTAGCGGACGCTGCACTAGGCCAACAGCTCAAGAGGCAGTCATCATTTAGTGCATTTCCTGTTTGCCGCAAATTTTATCGTTTATCTTCGACTCGCATCGCTTGCCCCATAGTTTAAGTCTACTAATCATCTTCCATCAACTCCCCATATAGACTAACATCCTGCACATCGATGCAACCTATGATTCAGCCTCTTCAACTGTGCGGATGACAACAGTCATTTCGATCATCACCTCTGGCAATTGCAAAAAAATAGCTCTCTGCTTGTAGCTCTCAAAAGTTGATTGGTAAAATGATCAACCATCGTGAGCAACTC